TGAAGACTGCTGGCGTAGGTGCCAGGCACAGGACTGGATGAGGCTGAGTTGGTATCACTGTAGCTTGGTAATACAGAGCTCAGGGCAGGCTGAAGGTCTTTCCCAGGATCTAGGTTGAATACTTGGGCAGTAAGTTCATGCTGAACTATGTCCAGCCACAGTTTGACAGCCAGGTACCTTAAAGCTAGTTCTCAATTTGTGCTTGTGGAGTCCCTAGACTTGTATATGCGTCATATATATACACATATATACCTGTTCTATACATGGGACTTTTTTGTGTAGGCATACCCAAGGTAGAGGTCTGCTTCAAACTGGTGGAAAACATCTTCAACATCAAAGGAAATAGCTAGGGCTGGTTGAGCAGGTGCTGCAGCACAGGGACACTGGACGTGGACAGTGAAAGCAGTGGTGCTGCATGTACCCTGAGTGCATCTGGAGGGGTCTATGTCAGACTAGTGCTACTCTGGCCAGGGCATCTTTCAGTTTAGTTTCAAATTTCAAGAATCCAATTTGTGCAACCTAACACAGCTCCAGGACATGAACCAAAGCACTCCGAGTGGGAATAATCAAGAGATTCCCCTTGAAAGGTCACTTCTGGTCTGAACTAGATGCTAAGATAGGTGCATCCATTCACCTAAAGAAATGCATTACCCTGAGCATGGTTTTGGTGCCTTGTATTTAGTCCTCCCAATGTGCCCCTGTCTGCCAGACACACCCCTGTCTGAGCACAGGGAAGTGTGAGAAAAGCGCAAGCTCAACAGCCCCAAATTGCTGTTGGCAAGGTGACAAGGAGGGGCTTTGGGCTACCAGGTTTGTTTACTAGGTACTCTGATATAGTGATTGTTCTTTATTAAGTGAAACAGTAAATACCATACTTTACTGTGCAGTTTATCGCAAAAAAAGAGGAGTCTGTAAAGATTAACTTCACAGTGTGTCACCAGGACACAGTGGAAAACTTTTCTCCAACCAAGACCTTGGCCTTTGGAAAGGAGCAAGGGTTACCTATACCATAAAATATGACAAATTCTTCAGAAGTAAATGCTTCCAAGAGTGGTATAATCACCCGTCTTCGTACCTTTATTTCCTTTCACAGAGCCATGTTTGACTATGACAAGAGCAAAGACAGTGGCCTCCCAAGCCAAGGACTTAGTTTTAAGTACGGAGACATTCTTCACGTCATCAACGCCTCAGACGATGAATGGTGGCAGGCGAGGAGGGTCACTCTGGAGGGAGACAGTGAGGAGATGGGAGTTATACCCAGCAAGAGGAGGTGAGTGCTGCCTTCTCCTTCTTACCTCCTTGGCCATGATGTTAGAATATTCCATTTTATTCTGAAGACAAGGAGCATCAATCTACTGAAAAAATGGGGAAAGTAGAGGAAAATTCCAGAGTCGTTATTTCAAGAGTTGGAAGATACGATTTTTGCTGTGAGATTCAAAGAGATCAGGCTGTTTAACTGTACTGAAAAGAAACTCGAAAGGTGACTCAATTATAGTGGATTAGTAACTTCACAAAGAAAGGGGGGAAGGGGAAGAGAGCACTGTCTACTAAAGAACTTCAGCAGAAAAAGGAATAACCAGAACCCAAGCCTGGGAATTAGCTCTGAATTTGAAATAAAGCACATGTTTTAATGTCAGGGTGATTAGCCATTGCATCAAACTGCTGAGGGATGTAATGGATGTCTTGACATTTTCAAATCAAGACTGTATGTCTTTCTTTTGAGAGAGTAATAGAATTAAACTTCTCAGCCTGTGTGATGTGAAAAATGATGCTAAATTATATAATGGTCATCTTTGGCTTCAAAATCTGTTAATTTAATCTCTGGCTGCCTGGAAACTGATGGATAATCAATATCACAGTAAATTTTTCATATAATGTAAATGAAGGAACTTTCATCCAGTGTCCAAGCTAAATCTGAATCTTTGTTTAGCTGCGATGGATTCATGCTGACTGATGGAAAGAGAACAGACATCTGAATCTCTCTCATTGTTTGTATTGTTTACTCTGTCTAGGTGCTTTTTTAAAATTGGCCACAAGCCTCTGATAGCATCAGAACTACCACACAAATCAGTATTACTTTCTGCTTCTGTTGATAGTGCCTATAGAAAGGTCAAGAACTGAAAGGGTAGGAGGAAAATGAAATCTGTCAAACCACATTACATTTCTCTTTTACAGCAATGCTTCCATACTGCATATAAACTTTCTATTCATAGCTATTTCAGCTTTAGTATTAATATAAAGATGATCATGCACCTTTTTTATAGTGGGGAAATGGGACGATTGATGCTCTATAAAGCACCTGCTGCTGTCTCAAAATTGTTGGCCCAGGTGTCAATAGAGCTCATGGTGTTCCTTGTCCTAAATCACATAAAAGTAAACTGGAAGGCCATCAAATATCTTATTGACATGAGCCCTGCAAGGACCTTATGTTCTCTAATCATGACCGTGTTTGAATAGCAACCACACGAGGATTTTCAGCAAAAAGCAATTTTGGAGATGTATAATAAATAGAAATAAAAACATAATTTTAAAGATGGAAAAAATGTGCCCATTAAACAGATTTAGTTGCTAGATATTTAAATCTGAATACTTGCCTACTATTAATTGCTACAGTAAATACTGTTGTCATGACATCCTTGGATCACACGTGGGAAAACAGGAAGTCTGTTCAGTTATTACTGAGGGAAGTATGTGCACAAAGCTCACTCCTCAGTGTGGTGTGTATTATGAAAAGCTACAGAAAGCTGTCATACATAATAAAACAACTATGGGGAGAAAAGAGCAAAACAAAGCAACTGATTAAGATGTGGAGTTGTATCTTCTGTAAGGTGGAGAGGATGTAAATGCCTAAAGCTTATTGAGTTACCTGCACAGTGATGTTTTCAAGGACAAAGGGTAAGAGGCTCTCTAGTCAAGGTCGGACACATGATACAGCCTAGGAAAAAGATGTGGCTTGGGAAATATTGTGAGGAGAAAAAAAAAAAATAGAGGCAAGATGAAAATAGGTTGGTTAGAGTCTAAAAATAAGAGTCTTGAATGTGAAAAGATGCAGGTATAGTTGCCATGCTCTCCACTTGTCATCCTGATTCTTCACTAGCGAATCTGAGCGGTCTGGAAAAATCAATGGCATCTGACTTTCTGTCTGCACTAATGGAATGATGTGATATACCTGAGCTGGGGGGGGGGTGCTATTATTTCATAAAAGGTTTCAGTTGTACAGGGTTATTTTTTCCAGTATGCTGAAAAGTGAGTATTATTTCCTTTCCATGGATTCTGGATGCTCCCACAGAGCCAGTGAGACTGATGAGCTCTTGCCAGCACCTCTGTGGTCATTTACACCACCCAAGCGGAGGATGAGCAATCAGTGCCTTCAGGCTGAGCTACAGAGAATAAATCCCATCATACTTGTGAGAATGCACTAATTCAGAATTGAAACTCCTCTGCAGGTGTGGATTGTTGAGTATGAGAGGCTTGATCTAAAACAGAGTAGTCCTGGGATTCATTGGGAGGCAACTACAGCATGGAAATCTTCATTTAAGCTGTTTACTCCAGGATGCTGTATCTCTTATAACTATATGGGACTATTTCTATAGGCATTGCACTATATGTAATATGGCATATGTAATATCTAGCAGTAAAATATGCGTTGTGATAGCACAGGAGGAAAAAAGCATCTGTAGCTGTTTCTTGGGCTGTGGCTTGTCCTGCAAGCCCAGCTTCCTATGATGTTGTAGGTTGAAGAGACTTTATATTTGTCTTATACTTTTCAATCCCTCATTCAATTCTGTTCCTTTTCTTTAGGGTTTGGGGTTTTTTGTGGGGTTGGTTTGGTGAGGTTTGGTTTTGGTGTCGTGCTTGGGCCCCTTTTTCTGCCTATGTATATATGCAGCAATACTGTCCTGTGGGACTGTAACATTTTTTGCACTTTGGGTCAGGGAGAGGCTATAAAGATCCAGGGATTACTTGTGCCAGGGTGACTCTTATAGTTATCTGCTTTACTGCCTTATCTCCTGTCCAGCAACAGCTCATATACAATTCCTGCTAAGTGAAATCATTGTGGAATAGCTCCGAAAGCCAGTGGTCACTTCAATTTTATTTTAGTATATATATACATGTATACAAATATATATATATACAGAAAGCCATAACAAGTACATTATATTAATTTTTTATGGTGCTGTGCAATGGTAATTGTTTTCCAAGATTTAGTTTTGCTTTTTTTTTTTTTACATCATTTTACAGGAGAACCCTCCACACAGTGACATTTTAGCACGAGCTATGAAAGACATTTTGAATGATAAATCAAGACTCCATACTTTTTTCTCCTCCATGATATATATGTGATAGAATCATAGAATAGTTTGGGCTGGAAAGGACTTTTAAAGGTCATCTAATCCAACCCGCACCAGATTTACCAGAATAAATCATGATTTGTAATTACAGGGGAGCTGCCACTCATTATTCTCTCCAAGATGTTGGATACGTTACCAGACTTTACCTCCTAGTGACACAATAGAGTTTGGCAGCTGTTTGCCATTAGATTTCAGTGCTGCTTCCCATGTGTGGACTTGTTGCCTTGTTGATTGTTAAACTGAAAAGTCAGGCTTTACGTGGGAGTTTTGGGGGGCAGCACTGCGGCTAGAGGAAGGTTACCAAGAGGCAGCACAGAGAAGTGAAGGTGGCCCTGTGTTTCTCCACTGACCCGGGCAAGGGCCAAATCTCATGAACCGGTCAGCCAGCGACCTCAGTGGGTATTAAAGAAAACTAAATGCTCAGTATCCTGCAGTGCTGAAATAGCATTGCAAGCCTTTCAGCATCTCAAAACAACATTTTGTCCATTTGTCGGTATGTATTTGTTGTCTGATTACAGCTGTTGTTCTCGACCATGGGACTGAGTAGCCAGTTGGGTAGAAAACAAATACAATGCTATGAAGTTGTTATGGTATTGTATCCTATTGATGTTGGGAACAGTAGGACTTCAGTATAAGAGGCTGCAAACCACTTCAGTTGTAGTTTAACAGTCATCAGATAGTTATTATATAATATTAATGAATGAATACTGCAGGCCAAATTTCACCTGCCAGAAAGATCTACCCAAGCTATGTCGAAGGTGAGAGCAGGGCACAGTTACCATGCTGGGCAGGGTCTCCAAGGTGAGGGGACACAACTACCAGTCCTGTACCAATGTTTCAGGCAGCCTGTGGTAGTATCTGTGCACTATGTTTACTCCCCTATCATCAAAAATTCCTATTTTATACTAGAATGACCAACAGAATTGGTTTTACACTAGATTTTAGTTACATTTAGATTTATAGTTGTACAGACTTAGATTAGAATTTCTACATATGCTGTGCTTTTGATCACAAGAATTTTTATTTGCCTCATAGTCCTTCCTATTGTCTGGATAAACAAAACAAGTTCAGCTTTCCGTAAAGGGCAGTAGCAAGCTGAGCAGCCTACGTCTAAGATTCCCTCCCCATAGAAACACTCACATCAGTTAAAACAAATCAAGAAAAAACGTGAAACCAATGTCCATAAGTTAGAGTGTACTAAGTGTATTAGAGCATGTATTAGGCACATGCTCTAATTCAATAGTAAAGAGATTTTAATTTGATGTAGAATTGATTTTACCCCGCCAGTTCTTTTCAGTTTTTCTTTTCCGAGTTTCTGCACACAGAAAGGCTCCCACATTGCAAGCCCCACACAACAGCAACCTCCCAATTAATGAATGTCAAGCTTCAGTATTTTTTGTGATGTGTGTATATCTGCTTGACTTGGGTCTGTGGGTTTGAAGTAATTGAGTCTGCGATTTCACACAGATTGCCCCAGAATGGCTAAGGTTAAATTCTCACCCCTTCTACTGCTGCTCCCACTGTAGCCAACAAGCCATTTTCAGATAGTTTAAGTACATCTGACTTCAAAACGTTACGCAACTTGTATCTCATTACCAGCTGAAGGTGTATGATATTTGTGTTCTCAAATAGACAGCATTCTCCCCACAAATACATGTAACCATGCTCTCTTTTCAGAGCAAAATGGGGGGAAAAGAACACAAAACCCAATGTTTTACAAACATTTAAGGACAAGGAACAAGACATTTTCCTAGCACGGAAGTCCCTGTGGGCAAAAAGCCAACTTAAATTTGTTACTCTGCTCAGCTTGGCAGAAGGGCATGTTTATCCACTCAAGTGAGTTTTATTTTTAATGATTTCCTATAAATTGTCTACCTTTCTAAACATCCTTTAAGATTTTAATCCTTGGATGATAAAT